CCGTCCGGCCGCGCCAGGGGAGCGGGGAACGGAGCGGGGCCAGCCCCGAGCAGCCGCCGATCCCCTCTGCCTGCCCCGCAACGCGGGGAAGCAAGGAGGAGGAAAGAAATCCCGGTTAACCAGCCCGAAGGGGCTCGGGTCACGCTGGGAAACGCGGCGGTGAAGAGGGAGGGTGGATTTCAAGCCCGCAGCCCACGGGGGGCGAGTGGGGACGGGGCAGGAGGCCCAGAGCCGGCCAGTCCTCGCCAAGGCAGAGCTGGAGGGGGCTGCAGCCAGTCCCCACGCCTGGGAACTGGGGTGGGCAGTGCCACCGGTGGGTTTGGTTTGGACACATCACGCCGCCTCCTTCATCATCAAGGTGACGCACAAGCAGGACACCGAAGGATGGAGGGACTGTCCCCAGCGTTTAGGAGCTCCTTTTCAGAATGGTTCCCCCCATTCTACAGCTCCTGCGTGGGGGCTGCTCGCTGCCAGCCCTTTCCCCTGCTCCCCAGCACGCTGCAGGCCCAGCTGCGTTGCTGCGGCCAGGTCAGGTCCACAGAGCCGCGCTTCCAGCTTTGGCTCCAGCTTTGACTCCGGGCCAGGCGAATACTTTGGAGTGCAGCAGCGTGCCAGGGACAGCAAACCCGGCACCGGCACCCTGCTCTCCCCCGTGCGTGTTTTACTGGGCGTGAAGGGTCTGGTTCTGCAACCGGGAGAGCACAGCGGCCTTGCGCAGGGCGCTGCAGGTGGGTGGGATGTTTGCTCTCGAGGCTGATGCAGCTCCGTTTGGGTTAGCCTGGTTCAGGTGATCTAGGCGGACTGCGTATTAAAAATATTTTTGAATGGTCAGATATTGCATTGCCTTTTTTGGCTTTGTGTGCTGGATAGGGACAGAACACATTTGGAAATAATTTAATGGAAGGATTATTTTTTTTTTTTTTTTACATTTACCTTGCAATCACATATTCAAAACAAAACCATGCCTTTATCAAAACATAAAAGGGTCACTGTGGTGAGACTCTCAGCCCCCGTCTGGTCAGAAACAGGGCCTTTAAATAAACACATGGAGCAGAAAACAATTAGAACGATTTGCAACGATTACCCGAGGTTTCCGTCTGTTCTGTTTCTCTGGCGGGCACAAACCCCTTTTTCGCAGCTCTGGTTAGTCTCTCCTGCTCACGGGCCGAACGGCAAACCACAGCTTAGCTGAGGGTGCGCTGGCCTACCTGGAAAGCGTGGTGTCCCTGCACGGGGACTGGGCAGCACGAGCATGGCAAGGTGCCCACAAAGGGGGAATCCCAGGAGCGTTATCTTGGAAAACGCCTAGATCCTATCTGGTTAAAAAAATATGGAGTGGCTGGGGCTTTCTCCTGTGCTGGTCCCGTAGGTGAGGATCTGGGAATCAAACTGGCTTCTCGAGCTTCCCTGCCTTACCTTGACCAGCAGAGTTTCTGAATTCTGCTAGAGATCCCAAATAGAGCAAAGTCAGCTTGTAATTCATTTACCCATCTCTCCCCATTTGTGGTTGCTCTGAGGTTTTGGCCATGGGGGGGGTTCTTATTTTTTTATAAGATTTTTAAAAAGAATTTCTTTTCCTTGGTGATTTTTTTTCTTTGCCTTTTTTAACCATTCTTTTCCCTGAAGACGCTGCAGAACCTCCAGGAGCATCCCCCGGGGTCCTGCTTTGCGCTCCTGCGGCATAGCTGCGGGTCTCGTCCTCCCTCCCCGCTGGGTTACAGACATTTGCAGCTCAGCATTATTTTTTCAGTTCTGCTCTTGCAGTCAGGCTGTTCCCACAGTATGAGAGGAGAGCGGGTGAGCTGCTCCAAGCCAAACCAGGAAAAGGCATTCAGCGGTGAGGCTTACTCTGTGCTTTATCTGCCTTTTGTCTGGTTTGATTTTTGTGGGTAGATTACAGGATTTCAGTCTCTAGCCAAGTGTCTCAAACATGCTGCTAATTATTAAAACAAAAGGTATGCCAATTGAAACTCAGATGTTTGGTGTTCATCCAAATCTCCCTGCAGAAATACCCACATGCAAGCAGAAATTATTGCAGTTACATATTAAACGAAATGGTCAGTTCAGTTCCACAGTGTTATGAACAGCTCCGTAATCACATCAGTAGGAACTAGGTAAGAATTAAATGTTCTTTCACGTGCATTTTTGCCTGGAAAACATCAGGAACATGAGGTCCCTGACTTTGCATGAAGCTGTGTACCTTTGATTACAAGTGATTTATCTGCACTGGCATATAACTGGCTGCCTTTATGAAGCTGTTGTCTCAAACATTGATTACGCATCCCAAAAACATGGTGAAGTCCTTGCCAAGTCTTCACATACCTTGCTTTTGGGGGATGGTAATTAATTAATATAATAGGTTACCTTGGCCATGGAGATTAAACTTTCCATTTAAATGCAGGATTTTAAAGGAAAGCCAGTTACTGATGAATACAAGAGCATTGCTCAGTTTTCAGAAAACATTATGCTCCCTTACCCAGAAAGACTCTTCCAAACTCTCTCCTCTTGGGTATCGAAACACTGAAACACATGCAATTACTTGTCCTGTATGGTGGAAACGTTTCTTCTGACTAACACCAATTAAAAATGTTTATTTAGTCTTTAATTTAAGTATGTATGTTCCTTTTATGGTCAGCAGAAAGAAAGAGAAACTGCAGGGCATAATCGATCTCTCTTAAAACAGACCACTGAGATAGGTGGGATGAATCATGCCCCAGAGGTCCCATCTTGCCGTGGACGGTTGGTGCAGCATCACCTCCACACTTACCGTCCTCCTTTGTCTTTCAGCTCCCGGAGGAGTATCGTTAGTTGTCCCACAACCCAACATCAACGCAACAGTGGCACAAAACATCCTCCTCTCAGTTGAATACTCTTGCAGAGGCGTCGCCACCATTGAGTGGAAGCATGTGTCGAGCTGGGGCACCACCAAAATTGTTGAGTGGAAAAGTGGGAATTATGTCAACATATCCACGGTCTACAAGGACAGAGTGACTACTTTTGAAAATGGCTCTATAGAGCTTCTGAACGTGGGCATGAGAGATGCCGGCTACTATTTTATCACTGTAACAGAGGAACATGGAACCAACACCTATGGCACTATCATAGTCAACGTTTACGGTACAAGCTAGATGGGACTTCTTGGCTTTACCCTGTGTTTAAACATTAATCCGCTTGTAATCAGTTTTATAATACTAATTTTTTTCTGTCCTCCCTGCAGAGATTATCTATGAAGATTTACATTTTGTAGCAGTTCTCTTTGCATTTCTCGCTGCAGTATCTGCCATTTTGATCTGCTTCATGTGGCTGTGTAATAAATCTCTGCATCTATTTCAGAAGAAGACGACACACAAACTAACAGGTATCTCTCTAAGAATGCAGTCAAGGTGTAGGGTTCTCAAGTCTGAATTTTGAGCCTGAAATTCACTTGTGATTTGAGCCATAAAGGTGCTAAGCAGGGACACTGAGAAACAAGATGGGAAGGCCTCGTTTCAGTTATCCTGTTCAACTCTTTACTAGCTGAGGCAACTGAATAAGAGGTATTTAGTTGCAGAACAATCCACAGGACATCTACCTTATACAGAAACCACAAAACACGTCCCAACATGGCTAACTGCAAAACTTAGGGAGAAAAGGCCAGAGCTGCAATAACCCCCCATCAGAGGGCAGGAGACAAAGTCAAGAGCATTCAGCAATGCTCTCGGGGTCTGCACCAGAAGGGTATCTCCTAGGGAAAAATACTCAAATGGCCCTTGGGAGCGGCCCCCACCTCAGTTCACAGGGGACTGCACCTCTTCTTCTCCTCTCAACTTCCCCCTTTCATCTGTCCTCATGTTTGATCCAGTTGCAGGCTCCAACAAACACTGACTAATATCAAAACCAGACTCCTCACGCGTGCCAAAGACACCAGTCACGAAAAGCAGATCAAGGGGACACAAGGGCTGCATTGAAGGGAACGTTCACGTGTTAGAGAAGAAATTTCCAAGCTGCAGCCAGGGATATTCATAGAACCATAGAACCGTTAAGGTTGGAAAAGACCCTTAAGATCATCGAGTCCAACTGTTAACCTAGCACTGCTAAGTCCACCACTAAACCATGTCCTCATTCAGCCCAGGCAGCAAGACAAGGTGCCATGGTGCGGGCCTGGGCTCAGGCTCTGGGCACATCCTTGGAAGGGGAGGTTTCTGTTACCACTTCAAAACATTTCAGGCGTTCACCTCCCTTCTTTGTAAGTGCAGATCCACTAGTGGTTTCTTGCCCTGTAGGTAAAAGGTCTGTATTTCTTCTCTAATAAGCGCTGCTTAAGCTGTTACATTGCAACAAGCAGCCTAAGTATCAGTATTTTACTAGACCAACACAGATGCTCAAGAATCCTAAATCTCATGGCCCAGACTTTGTCTCAACTCTGCAAAACCTGATATGAGACGAGATGAATTTGGCTGGAGCTGTCTCTTCCTTTCTGCCGCTCGCCTACAGCTCTAAGGGCTGCTGCTGTTTTCATGGTGCACACACTGCTCACAAGCTTCTGCAGCTCCTGAACCTTTTCCTATCGTGCCAGAATATACAGGCTTTTGTTTGGATAAAGCCTCTCCTTCCTCCAGTTAAAGCCAATCTTCCTACAGAGCCAGAGTTTTACAAAGTCTGAATCAAATACAGTTATTTGGCAGAGTTCAGGAAAACCACAGTTCTGGAGGCTTGCTTGGTCATCTCCCAGAACATGATCCAAAGCAGGGACCAAACTTCTGCCCCGATTCCACCTCAGAAGAGCCCTCCTTTCAAAAGTCACAAAGAGAGATATAAGGACTGGCCCTGTGGACTTTAGTTTTCATAGTGCCTTTAGTCTTGTATTGGAAGAAATCAGTGTCAATTTAAAGATTGTGAGGGACTCTTCATGCAGTTAAACATTTTGAAAAGATGTATTTAAAACCTAATTGTAGATGAGTAAGCTTGAGCTAATATTAAAAAGTTCAAAATGTCTTAGCTATTAACACAGCGTTGTTAATTTTGGAACGCTGGCCTTCCATTCCATTTGCCAATCAATAATAATATCCTTTTATTTGCAGCAAGTACAACTGAAGAGATTGAATTGGAAACCATTGAGTGTTAGCCAAGGACTCTCTCATAACAAAAATAACAATTCTACCTCAGGAGAAAGTATTGGCAAGGAAAGCGAGAAGAAATCTGAAAGGTAAAATGTTTGTGACTGCTGCAGAAACATCCTGACTTGCAAAGCTCATTAGACATGAAAGCAGCAGTGGCTGATGGAGCTGTTTTGACCTGTTAAGATTTCGGCTCTGCTTTCATGCTGAGCACGAACACATTTTTGTGGCTAATTAATAAAATCTACAGCCTCTACCACTCTTAAAACCAACCAAAAAAGCCTCTAAGATGAACCCATAAAGGAAATGATCATGGTCTTGAAGGACACCTGTATTTTGGCTACAGCAAGTCTCCTATTACAGACAGAGCAGCCATTAGCATCCTTCAACATAATAAATTTAATGTCTAATTACAGTATTACATTAAAAAATTAATTGCAAGGATTGAATCCTGTTTATTGTGCCTATGCTGCTACTTTTGGGCGTAAGGAATTTCCTGAAGCTCTGAAGACAAACTGTAATTCTTCATGAGACAAAACTGACTTTGAAACAACACGGAGCTGGTCAAAGTTCCCCCACTTACATTTCCAATTGTTTACGCTGCCCCAGGATATTAACACACATTTTATGACATTACTAGGAAAGGTTGCTGAACAAGGAACTACACACAGGCACGGAAGAGGATGCTGTCTGTAGTGATTAGAGGGGTCAGATAAAATACTGACAACATCACACCGGTGGGGTGGCAAAGTACTGAACGGTTTCATTGTGAAAGATGTCGAGTCCTTTGCAAACTTAGCCCACTGATGAATTGTCTCTCTGGGAAGAAAAGTCAAAAGAGCATTACTTTGAAATTTAGTATTTACAAATACAGTGCTGAAATTGCTCTTGTTGAGAAGCCACCTTTGCTTTCCTATGTTGTAAGAAAACATGAAGTGATCTAACTAGTGTTTTCGTGAACCTGCATATCACACATTTTCCACCTGCAGAGCTTCTGGGTGGAATAACATTTGGTTTTGTCAGTGAGAAAGCACTACGCTGATCAGGCTTCAACTTAATCCTGTTTTGCTTTTGTAAAGGGAAGAATTTTGCAGTGTGAAATAAACTTTGAACATGTGAGAGACCACGGACTAGTCTGTGTCTGCAGATTGCCACGTGGCTTTTTGAGCTGAACTGCTGCTGCTGCCTCTCTCACACGTCAGGTCGCTTCTTCGCATAAGGCTTTCACAGGAGAGGCTGACAGAGCTTCCCCTCGGGTCAGGGACTGGGATGCTCAGGTGCAGAGGTACGACGGGTTAGATATGGAAAACCAAAGGATTTCTCACCAAGTGCGTAGCAATGCAAACCGGCTTTTCCCAAAGCACCCTGTACACAGTACTTTATAGAAGTCATCCCCGGGTTGAACTGGCCGTTTGCAGTACAAAGTACTCGCTCACTCAAAGCACTCTCGCTCACTCGTAAACTCGGGTACCGGATTCAGCTGGTTGCTGCTTCCTGCTGTGAGGATAAGAGGTCAAAATAGGCGAGAAATTAAAAAAAAATATCCCAGCTACAGCACAGCTTGGCAAAGTAAGTTTGCTCTGATTCTTCGCTTTAAGTATATATTACCACTCTTTTGCGTCTTTGGGTGAATTAAGCTTTGACAACGCAGAAGTTGTAAGTGCGTCTGTTTTAATCACCAAGCTTGAAGTATTTTGTGAAGTATCCATATACCATAAGGAAAACATTATTAAATGGTTTGGGTTTTTTTTTCTGTTTATCTGTTCCAGATTTTTTTTTTTAATCCCTGAAACTTAGAACTTGAAGTTACACATTAGGCTGAGCTGAGTATATAGCAGGTGCGCTGCCAGACTTAGTCAGAAAGGACAGAAAGAGCAGCTTACACGTAACGCCGTTACGATCTGCTGACGTTGGCCTGCATACTGCAATTGTCAAAGGAAAAGTCAGGAAATGTATGCAGGCACGAATGCCTGTTTGAATGCATTGCTGTAATTGGAGAGATCGCTTACGCCTTTCATCTACAATATTTGAAAGTTGCGATGAAAGTAGGAAACGACCACTTCAAATTCTTCAATTTAAGATGCTCTAGAACAGCAGCAAGAAGTTTCGTGTACGTCTCAGCTTGGCTAAAGATACAGCCACTTCAGGCACCCAGCCTTGGCTATTGATGCTGGCGCCAACCTCGCTTTTAGGCAGTAACGTCCTAGGTGAACAACGGGGATTCAAATAACATTCAGTGAGGACACACAGTGCGGGTAGCCTATGTACGGCTTGCCTTATAGACAACGCCTCACCCACAAATTTTACCCAGAATTTAACATGCTCACTCTAGATAGCTAGGGTCACTTATAAAATAGCCACGTTTTCTGAAACTGATGTTTGTCAATACGCATTATTAACGTCAATAATATTTGATACAGGGAACGTGAGGCTAAGCTGGCTGTAGCAGTTTCTTGCTACACTGGAGGTGCCTGAAGTGTTTAAAGATCTTATGGCAAGCTGTTAAAAGTGGAAGTTTAGAAACAAATAGCTCTTCTTACTCCAGTCGTAAACTCTATGCAGAACAGCAGCAAACTTAATATTTAGAGCATTCCAAGTGATCAAAGGGATTAAAGCATTTTGCATTTAAACTTTAATTAAAGAGATGTCCAAGTTCACAAGATTGCTTTGGCAATCAATTGTAAAGGTCTTAATCATCCACTAATGTCTTCATTTCATGTTCAAAGATGCACTACCAAGAATTTCAAGACTGTTGCTCTAGTAGAAGCCTAATCAGTCTGTTTTCCATTAAAATTAGGAATCTCTGTGTATGCGACACTAAAAGACAGATTCTCCAGGTCCCTAATAATTCCTTTTTTTTTTTTTTTTTTTGTTTCTCCGTAGCAGTTTCTTGCTACACTGGAGGTGCCTGAAGTGTTTAAAGATCTTATGGCAAGCTGTTAAAAGTGGAAGTTTAGAAACAAATAGCTCTTCTTACTCCAGTCGTAAACTCTATGCAGAACAGCAGCAAACTTAATATTTAGAGCATTCCAAGTGATCAAAGGGATTAAAGCATTTTGCATTTAAACTTTAATTAAAGAGATGTCCAAGTTCACAAGATTGCTTTGGCAATCAATTGTAAAGGTCTTAATCATCCACTAATGTCTTCATTTCATGTTCAAAGATGCACTACCAAGAATTTCAAGACTGTTGCTCTAGTAGAAGCCTAATCAGTCTGTTTTCCATTAAAATTAGGAATCTCTGTGTATGCGACACTAAAAGACAGATTCTCCAGGTCCCTAATAATTCCTTTTTTTTTTTTTGTTGCTCCCAGCTAGGCCTGGAAGTCTTCACAAATGTCTTCACTGCTAATGTGCAGTGCTTGCACTTCTGCAACACAAGAGAAGTCCTCTTGCATCCGTTGTTTCCTTTCAGAAGGGGACAAATCCTGCAACTATGAGATCCCAATAGCTCTACAGTGATCCTATAACTTGGTAATGAAGAACTCATTTGACAAAAAGGCTATCGCTACATGCAGACCTGTCAATTTAGGTTAAGAGCAGTGAAGTGTAAAGACACCTTTAAGTTTCATATGCTCATCTTCTCATTATTAGTAAGAGAAAAGTTGTGTTGCCGAGTCAAAGCAGCCTCATATAATCAGATGCACAAGCAGATGCATCAGGCTGTTGGCTGAACTGTTCACCAAGGAACAAACCCCCTGGCTGCCTGCAGCCACGCGATGCCTGCTAGCCAAGCTGTACGGGACCTGGCATCACAGGTGCTGCGTAAGATTCACCCATCCTTCAAGATCGAGAGGCCATTTTCCACTAGTGCTTCTTCCTTTCCGTAAGTTGTCATCAGAACCTGAAAGGGAAACCCTTCAGAAATACTTCAAGGAACTGAAATAATGAGATGTTCTACAGCGGCAAACGCCAACGTAAGTACAAGAGCTGCTTTGGATACACACTGAGCAGCGGCTTGCCACAAGCAGTTGCTTAATATGTATTTCCTACAACTATTCTTTATTGCTCAAGAATACATCAAGGTAACAGCTGTCACCGTACAAGTATGATGTTCAATTCAAACATGTTCTGTGTGCAAGAAGTTCTCATCTATATATACATATATATATACACACAGACCTCCTAACACACAATATGGACGTAAGTCTGAACCAGTTCATACAGACAGGTTTCAAAAAGATCTTTAGCAATTAATCATCAAACAAAAGAAAAGCTTTGTGCAACACCTTACTAGAAGCTTCAAGAAGGGTACAATTACAACCAAAAAAGACAAGAACGTGACTTTTTTTATTTTAAAAGAACTCAAAAGAGCTGATCTTCAGGAGGATATTATTGTTTCCCTGGATGATAATCAGTGACAGTGCAGAAAAAAAACCAAACAAAAGCAAAAAACCTAGCACAAGTGTGGAGATCCAAGGTCTGCATGAGAGTTACCTGCTTCTGTACAGACATGAATTCACACAAGTCACCCACAAACTCCAATTGTCAGAATTTTGCAAGCAGAGTAAGACCCTTTCCTCTACATGCTTGCAAAAAACAAGGCCAGAAAACAGAAGCAAAGTAACCGACACCACATAGGCTCATCTCTAGGCATCAGAGAGGAAAGGCGTTCGCCACAAGCTGTGACTTCTTAACACTCTCAACTTAAACAAATACCTAAATAAATCTTTCTCAAAAAGAAATGGGTCACCCAGAAGCCACATGAAGGTACAGTTAACACAAACAAACCTCAACTCAAGACCATCACGCAGTGAAGACTCTTCTTTGAATCTTCAGTTTTGTTTAGCCTTCGTTCTTGACAAGGGAGCTCTGCTTCTCCTCTGTTGTCCCACTTTTAATCAGACAAGTCCATTAACTTCCACAAGGATAGCCATTCCCTGTGGTATAAGCCACTAAAAGGCTTATGGATAGCATAATTCAATTCTAATAATTTTCGTCTTTCAGAAATAAGATCTATTGAGAAAACGTAAGGGCATGAGGGGTAAGGGAATGACTCTGAGCAGACA